TTTAATCTTTAACCCCCTCAAGACGAAGACCGTATTTTGGAGTAACGAAAATCCAATTTGCAAGAAAAACAACTTTAACAAGTGTTGTATACAATTAATCTCTAGTACAGGCCTATATGGTGCAACGTGGTACTTTTACCAATTGCATTAACAGAAATAATTTTAAAAGGTAACTGTCTCGATTTATTTACAAAACCTTTCAAATCAAATACAGTTTATATTAAAATCCATTATATCGAGATTTAGAATTAGCCAAAGTGCACGCACATCCGACAGATTGTTATTTTATCCGTTTCGAAGTAATGGATTTCAGATAAGAGTGTATTCGATTAGAATGGTTTCGTGAATGAAGGTAAGACAGGTACCTTTTAAGGTTAATTCCATTGAAACAATTGTCCAAAATGGTGGCACGCTGCAGCTTGGAGAGCCATGCTGAGGACTTACAATAATTCATGTGCACTATATTCTACAGATTTTCAAAGCCACTTGTTGCATGAAATATCATCCACTTCCCGATTGTGGTACAATTATTGAGACACTGTATACAAAGAATTTTTATAGTAAATTTATATTAAATGCCTCTTATTCACGTTTATTTACATAATGATAATGATAATACGTCTTTATTATACGAAACTTACACACATTGAGAAATTAAAATCCTATGAAAATAGGAAATTATAAATAGGGGTATATATTTGGATGTAAATGTGAGGTATACTTTATAGTACATATATAAAATATATAGAAAATCTTGTAGTTGAAGCAGAAAATGAATAATTCATTGAAAAAGTAATTATAAAGTTACCATCATCAAATATATAATTCTAGAAATAAGTAAATTTGTTTTTTTTTTAAATTGTTTTCTCAATGAAAGTAAAACTTTTCTCATGAAAATAACAACTTTGCAAACTTAGGAAAACTTTTTCCATAATAATAAAATATAATCAATATCACATAATGCTAAATGAAAATTTCAATGTTTTTGGTTTCGTCTATTGGATGTTCCGGCCATAAATATGGATTAAATCTATATCGAGCTTAGAATAGATGTGGTTCCATTACCCAGATTTACCAAAACTATCAGGTGGGGGTATCTGATAGATCTGAGCAAGGAAATCGCTTGTTAGCGAGTTATTCGATCCCCATGACTGATTCGATTTTATTTTCTGTCGCTTACGTAACAATTTCTGCGGGAGTAATTACATTCAGCGGTAATCAAAGGCAGAGAAAATCTGTCGAAAGCGTAACGGTACGAAAGTTGCGACCGAAAGGCTAAAGTATGAAGAACGAGAGGGGTGAAACCGGAATGAGGGATGCTTCTTAGGAAATACACTGGGTGTCGCTTGATATATTTTTCCATTATTAAGGACATTAAGCCGGCGGCCCGCGGGCAAAGCAACTCTTTTCGTTTTCTTCCTCCGTTCGTTTCTTACCGCAGACACGGACGTTTCTCTCTCTCTCTCCTTCTTTTTTTCACCCGCCGCGACGACGACGATAAATCAGAAAAAAAGATTCAGACCCGGCGCTATGGTCGGGCGACGGAACGCAATTTTCCGTCTGCCAGGAGATAAAAATTTGATTAATGGACGTATGGTCTTCGAGTTCGAGAAAAACCGAGGGGTGCCTTTTGTGAGCCGGCGCTAGACTTAATTAGCATTCGCTAAAAAATCATTGGGAACCCGCCTACGAACAAGAAGCTTCGTGGACTCCTTCCGGCGAGCGGGCGACGTTTTTCGAGAAAAATCTCGACGGTCCACTCGAGACGGTCGTTAAAAATTTGCGACTCGACTTCACCGCCATCGAGCCGTTCCTCGTCCTCGTGGCGACCCTTGGCCACGGTTCATCGTCGCGACGTCACCCCGGATCGTATCCTCCCGCGAAGAAAACGTGAAACGAACAACGAAAACGATATTTCCGGCCAACAGGAGTAATTTTATTCGAATCGACGCGGAACGCGACTCGGATTGATTCGTCTCGGGGGTCGAAAGAACCGGGTCCGGGGCGAAAAAAACGAGGAATAAAATCGAGTCGCAGGCTCTCCCTCTCTCACGGGGATTAAGAATCAGGGATGCCCAGCGTCGAAGGTCGCCCGTCAAATATCCAACGACGTCCCGCAGAAAGAAAGGGTTGAAAGTCGCGGAAACTTGAGAACCCCCGATGACAATTTCAATTCGCTCTCTGTGCTTTCGCTCCCCGTTCTCTCTCTCTGTCGTCTCCGTCGCGCGCCCGGGAAGGGTAGACGGCAGTCTAAGATTCTTAAAACTTCTCGCGAGATTTTTCGATTTTAATTACAGTTTTAACATATTTTAATAAAATCCGTGGCCCGTCTCGGCCGCGCTTTCCCTCCTCAAAGTCCGTTCTAGAACACTGGCCCTCTCCCTTCTTCAATTCCGGCCAAGTTCTCGACGAGCCTCCGCCGTTAACCCGTTACCGAATCTCTCTCTCTTTCCCTCGACTTTTGCCAGGAACTGTACGCTCGTTTTAATGTTAACCCTTTCGTTCGTTCACCTACACCCACACCAGCCACGGGAGCAACACCTGTTCCCTCGAACGAGAACCCGAAATCAAGCGTTCCTCTTCGTTCCAACCGTCCGCGCCACGGCCCTTCCAAACAGTTTCGCGTTTCTCCTCGTCGCGTCGAGGAACACGTCGAGTACGGAACTTGCGAACGCGAGTCCTATCGTGCAAACGAACACGTACAACGCGTGCCACGCGTGCGATTCGAAAAACATCGATCGGGGGGGGATGGCTGCTTTCGAAAACCACGACCGACGGCCGTTGACCCCCGTTTGCGGCCAGCTGTTACGCGCTTCCTATTAAATTCGTGGAGAACCGAACTACTCCCAGGCCCGATACCGGAGACCCAACCCCGAGTCTTTGGACGTGGAACGAAACAGATTCCCCCCCGAGCGAAATAATGAACAAGGTTACCGGTATCTCGCGTTGGTAAGATCGCGCATAGAATACGCGTTAACGATTCGGTATGCGTCGTATTGTATCGCTGGAGAGGGTAATAAGTTCCTCAGGGCAGTGGCCCATAGATCGGGTCAACCTATGGCGGTCACTGATCGTAACTACGAACCATTAATCACAACCGTTAGACTAACGTCGTTACGGAGTTGTAGCCGATCTTGTTGCTTTATTCAAAATTATCGTTCCTCGGTGTTTCGTGCGCCGCCTAGACTGATCAGGAACGCTCCTATCTTTCGTAATGTAAGATCAATCGGAATTTATGGTTTCAGGGGTCGTACTAATCGAACCATTTTATTAGGCAACGAATATCATAGCTATATTGAGTTTCCTCGTATATCACTATATAAAATTTGAATATTGCGTAATATGTAAATTGAGTTTTAATTCCATTTATGTGTAAGTATACAATAGATGGAAATCGATGGAGAAATAATAGAAACGGACTCGAAACTATTATAATTTGTATCGTTTCGATGCAAAGATCGTGTTTCGCGGGGAGATTAAATCGATCCCGCGGACCGTCGCGATGTATCGAAAGAGTGTAAGTACCGAACGAATTACGTAATTCTTGCGTGAACTTTTAATTAATGGATCGCGTTAATGCCGTACGGGAAATCGGGGGAGTGAACGGCGACCCGACGCGGCCGGTGCCAACGTGTCGAATCGCGCAGAACGGCGACCAATCGTTGAGTTCGCCTATGAATAACTCAAACAGCAAACGGTATCGTTACGGTATATAAGCCCGTACTTTTCGATTCTCGTCGTCCCATAATTGCATGAGAAAATCATGAGGATCGCTCGAACCGTCCGCGCGCAACAAAACGGGCGAAGCTGTGGCGACTGCCTATGCCCTGCAGAAGCTAATCTTTAACACATGATGCTTCTAAAACGCAAAACGATCGTATATTTAGCATCGCGGGAAGACAAATTGAAATTTCCTTCAATTCTAAATTGCTCCGCGAGTTCCACCAAGTTCTAACTCGTTCTACGGATTTCAATTTCACCGAACGCTCGTAGAACACCGCGGTTCTCGTCCTGTACCATTAGAAGTTCAGTTCCAGTTTACCAATGTTCTAACTTGCTCCACCCTAGTTCCCTAAAGTCCGAAATTATTCCCCACAAAACAAATCCGAATTTTTCAGAACTTTTTGAGGATCAAGATTCCTGTTTTGACACTTGTATTGACATTAGAAATATTAGAGTCTCCATATCGCGTCGCATTCTCTGCGTCGAATTTTTTTTTTAGTAACTTTTCTAAATCCCAACTTTATTATGTTGCAAGTTCCAGTTGTTTCGAATATTTTGAGAACGTTGATCATTCTAAATTCTTATATGCTCTACTATTTGTTTAAAGTCTCAATTTATACTGCAAATTTCAATTTTTCGAAATGCTTTTAAAACATCACGATTCTTATTTTGCGTCGTAAAAAGTCATTTGCTTACAGTAAATACTAAAACTTTACGTTTCTAGCACCGAAAAATATAAATTCTCAAAAAGAGAAAACAATTCCTCTAAACGTTTCCAGACCATTACAGCCCTCATTCTCAAAGTTCAGATTCATCCTAATCATAATTTATTCTGTATATACCAATTACACCAAACTCTAACATTACACTCAAAAATCTCAGTTTCATTGAACCCACCCATCCTTCAAATCGAACATCTACACTGGTGTTCCTCAAAGTCCTGACTCCATTCTACAAATCTCAATTCCATCAAACTACAAATACCAAAAAAAAGACACTTCACGTCGAAACAACAGATCCCAAATGGCTCCAATCCAACGGTAAAAACTTCGAATTGTCTTGTTCCCAAGTCCCAAAAAAAGGTTCGATATTCGTAAGTTTAGAAGCGTTTGTAAAAAGGGCAGAGGTAGGGCGCGACAGCCGAGCCTCCCGAAAGTCCAGGAAGCGATGGCGATCGACGAGGGTCAGTGGCGGTCGGGTCCTCCGTCGATTTGCCATCCTCCGTTGCTCGAACAAAAGTGCAGCGTACCAACTAACCCCGGCAGTTCTTCTCGCAGATCTTCATGCACAAGAGCGCGATGCAGATGCACGCGAGGGAGCTGGGCGCGGCGGGTGCACTGACGGCTCGACCCGGCGGCGGCATGGCGGGCGGACTGGCGGGCCTTGGTCCGATCGGCGTCGGTCCGGGTGGCATGATCACCGGGAACGAGGTAAAGCCGCACCAGTGCCAGCAATGCCTCAAGTCATTCTCTAGCAACCACCAGCTCGTACAGCACATTAGGGTCCACACCGGCGAGAAACCGTACAAATGCAGCTATTGCGACCGCAGGTTCAAGCAGCTCAGCCATGTACAACAACATACCCGCCTGCATACGGGTGAGTAACCGTCCTTCTCCGCCAATATGCCTCGGCGAAATCCTGCTTGCTTGGACCGGCAACGATCCCGGGCCTCGAGGAATGCCTCAATTTTTATCCGACAGTCCTGATCGATCGCCAAGGGACGATATCGCGCGAAACTAACGCCGTACAGGGACCGTACTTTTAAAGAAATTCGGTTTCGAATGTTCAACCAACGACGATTTCTGCTTAAAGAGGTCCCTAGGCTTGAGGCTCGAGGTTTCGCTCAATTTTTATATTTTTCCTTATTTGACGATTGAAAACAACCGAGACATAGGAACACCAGGGCTTGTCTGTCTTCGTTGTTTTCGATTGCAAGGCAAGGAAGAATATAGAGACGCACGTGGCCCTAGCCCTACACGCGGTTGCAGAGATTTTTAACGGGTTAACTCTAAAGTCAATGTAATTTGAAACAGGGCTGAAGAATCTGAGTTGCAAACTTCTTTAAAAATCGTGTAAAAGATTGTTACTTTATATCTTCAACTTGTTTCTTTAGCCTCTTCAAGGATACTAGTATTTAAATTATTTTAAATATTACATCATGATAACCACTAGAGTCACGAATGAATGTTTATAGTTAAATTTTCCAATGACACGATACGGGCAGCATCGTCGCAAGATTGACGACCGTCGTGGGTTAATATCAATTTGCATATTTGTTTATCAAGAACGAAAGTAATTTGGTCCCCGAAGAGGTTAGAGAATTCTGCAGTTTGATGTGTGAAACATCGAGTAGGAACGTTCGAAGTTATTCGCGAAAAGGTTGCCCCGCGGCGTAAAATCGTTGGTAGATCTCCGTCGCGACGAAATCGTCGCGTCCGGTACCGAGCTTAATGCATGCATTCAGTATCCCCGGGACTGATAGTAAATTCTATGAATACCTCATTGCATCGCAGCCAGCCGATAATCAATAAATTAATATACTATTATAATCTGCGCGAGCGATCGTGCGTTCCGATTGTGGCTAATTTTAATGCAGCACGCCGCGAGATTGCTCAATGCGCCTCGGCCAGCGCCGTGATTTCCAAGACACCGTTGACTGAACACGTTGTCGACCACGGTATCCCCGCGAGTACACGGTATCTCCCGGACAAGTTTCGATTTACGCGGGGCCCCGAACCGATCGAACCGAGCCCCGCGCCGGTTCGACCAAGAATAGCAACGATCGTGAGGCGAGGAACACGAACGGGAGGGGGGGAGATCGGTAATAATGAGAAAATTCGACGGTAAAAGCCAGCCGGCGAACGGGTCGCGCCCGGGTAGAAAGAATTTCATTAAGGGATAAGCGTAGTCAATCGGAAGGTATTAGCCTCGAGAAGAGCGATACGGTCAGCGGCCGCGTACGACTCCCGGACCCTTGGAAAAGTCTCGATATCTGCTTCCGGACGAGAAAAAGAATAGAGAGAAAAACCGTAAACCTCGTCGGTATGCGAGCTATTTAATCGAAGACCGGCTATCTCAATCGCAAAAGGATAACGCACGGATATCCTCAAGAAAACATTCCTTTGAAATCATCCACGGGGAAAATGAATTCTCCGGAGGGCGTACGATCGGGAGAGTTCACCTAGCGCGTTCGTTGCGTCCGCGCTCGACGGGAGAAGAAGAAAAAAAAAAAAGGCCAACATTGATTTCGCCAGGGTCGTTTCAACCCCTTGGTCTTTCTCGATGGCTACCAACAAGCAAGTAACTACTGCTCAGCCACCCCTTACATTAATAATCACCCTTCCCACGTACCGGGTTCCCTGGTCTGCTCTGCCGCGGTTGGTACTTCAGCCTAACGTCGGTGTACGCGCATCTATCGCACGCGTGGTTTATCGATGAAACGTTTTAAACGCCGTTACGGGGGTTCTCGCGGCCGGACGAAAAAAATACGCGACGATTCGGTCGGCTCGCGCACGTGCGCCGTCATAATTCGTCGGTACGGAAAAAATAGCACCGATTCGGGATTCCACGTTTCGGCGTGCTGGCCAAAATTCCTCATTTTCGAACGTCGGTTCGTTCCACGGGGTCGCATACCGGTCTACGGCGACTCAAAAATCGGCGAGCTCGCGACCGAAATTCCTTTCGAATTCCCGTGCGGCCGTTGTTTTCCCAAATGATACCCGCTTCCGCGGAGCATTTGCATGCCATATTGATTTCTCGTTTCGGTGCGAGATCTCGTTGCCGCGCCGCGATTGGCCGATCGAAGTCAAAAAACGGCGGGAATTTACTGCCGTGCACCGTCGCGCGTACGAGCGCCACCCCCCCCTCTCTCCTCGCGGCAATAGCACAGCACGCTCGGGTTACAACAATTTCCCTCGACGGGATATGGGGAATATATAGATATAAATATGTATATATATATATAATACGTATACACGGACGCGTATAAATATGTACGCGTATATTCACACGCCTATAAAATTTGCAACGTATACGCATATAATTCATTAACCGAAATTCGATGGAACTCGCGCTGCTACCAGGCAAAACGAGAAACGACGGGGTGGTTAGGGAGCAGAGGGGTGGGGGGTGACAGTAATGGGAGTGGGAAATGCAGGCGAGGGTGGCAGAAACGAAGGATGGCGAATATAATATCGGTGAGTGTCCACGATATCGATAGCTGGTCAATAGCTGCAGCCTAGACAAATACCTGCCAAGGGTGTACAGTCCATCCTCCCCACCAGAGCGGCGAGCGTGCGAGGGTGACTGGGCGCACGGCCAATGGGAACTCGGCTCGCCCCACCACGGGGGGTCGCGCGCGAAAAAGCGCGGGAATTTTTCGATCGCCCGATCGCTCAATAATGGAACCGAAGTTACGCGCCGCCACCGTCGTCCGCGCACACTACCACCAGTGGCACCAGGCGTTGCATCCGACACACACACACGCACGCGTACGTGGACGCGCAGCAGCCTAATAAATAGCTGCACGCATTCGAGACCGTGTTGGCCGGATAGACGACAGAGTTGTTCGTACGCAATGGGCCAGAGGCTACCAAAGATTACCCCTTTGGCAACGAGGAAAACTCAATTTTCATGGGGGCGAAATCTAATGATCGGTCACCCTATGCGCGCGAAATTAATCGGTTTTCCTGATCGTTACCCGCGGTGGCGTTAGCTTTTGGGAGCGCCCGGCGATTCCGGTCTTCGCGCGCCGAGGATTTCCGATTTTTTTCACCGAACGCGATCGATTCGATGCCACCAGTGTCTCTCAAACTTCTCTGACCCCTTAACGCTCCTATTTTTCGGGTTAATCAGTTTTCTTTATTAGACTTGTTGTATTTAACATATAATTTGAAGGAAAACAAATACCGTCATGCATTGAATCGTTGGATTAAACAAATATCATTTTTTAAAGCAGTCAGATTCGAGCATGAGCTTTAAGGGGCTAACGAACGACACTTCGTGATGTAACGTTGTTGACTAGAGGTTTTCACTATCATTTCCCATCGTTTACTAATTCCAACTGAAAGTTTAACGAAGTCAAAACTGAATTATCGTTCTCAGTCTTATGGGTCCGCTAAAATAATTTATCTTTTGCTCACCCTATTCGATGCACATATTTTTAGGAATGTAACTACTATTTTTAACTGTTACGACTAGACTATTTTCCAGAAGAAATTGTCAAAAAAGATATATTATTATTTAATATTTCATCGATCCATCTCAGTTTCGACTTTCATCTAGCTATTTTTAAGGTTTCTTGTGAAACTTTTCCCCGCTGGCGGATACTTTTTATTCAAAGAAATAGGGTTTCGCGACCTTCGACATTATCCGTCGATCGATGAAATGCACTTTTTACTGTGCATGCAATAACTAACAAAGATTGTTTCCGTTCTTCCACGGTATAATTACACTTTCTCGGCCTGTTTGTCGACTTTAGAACAATTGTCCTTTTCTTAAGTCATGGAAGTAATAATTCCATCCGTCAGGCCCATAGTTGACCTTTTTTACATCTGCAAAGATGACATTTCTGCACCTTTTATTTCCATTGAACATGCTCACGAGCAAATTGCAAACATTGCCTTTGACTTCAATTTCTTCCTCTTAATATTTTCGCTTCTTGTAGAATACGTTTAACATTCCTAATACGAGTTGTAACACCTGCTTCTGCAGCAGTTTGTCTAATTGCTCCTTTAAAATTCTAAGCCATTTGTACAATTGCCTATCTTTATAGATTTGAGGAACAGTGGTTATTGACTTACACACTCAAATTATTAATAGTTATTTAAGCGACAATAGGCGTCTTTCAGACTATGTAAAAACACAAGAAATTGTAAATCGTCAAAAATCTTGAAACAGTAACTATACGCAAGTGTGGAAAAATGATCTGATTCAATGTTTTACAGGATAATGGGAATATAAAATGTTTACCAGACAATAAAACAATATTTACATATTTCTCTCGTCGATGTACTCGCTGGATTTGCCTGAATTAATTTAGCCACGCTTTCAAGTGATTTTCTCGTAATATCGTATCATTCTTGTTGAAATACTATTGATTTTTGAAACGAAGGCGAAAAGACGAAATAGAAAAGAATTCTTGGGTCAATTGCAATCATTTTTTATGAACACACATACCCCGAAATTCTACGTACTTTCGAGAGAAAAATTCTTTACCGAAAATATACCGTGTAACTGGAAATTTTTCTATAACTTTTTAACGAAGCCTCAATCAACAAATCAGTATCCTTGATTTTTGTCTTATTTTTGCCTCTGGAATCTCCCAGCGGTGGCCGAACACCCTGTATAAGTGCATTATAATTACAAAATTAATCCTTGTCTTCGATAAATGTTACAAAAATTAAATAGCTTTTCAATTAAATACACCCTGTGTAATTATATGTGAAGCTCATTTATTTAAAATTATTAGCCTTCATTTTTTCTCTTGACATGCAAACCGATGTAAAAATATCCAAATAATGAGGAACAAAAACACAAAAAATTATTAAAATATATAAATATCTGAACAGCCGATTACCAGGGAAAGGGTTAATCAA